CTGTCCTGGCTAATAACACCCCCGTGTTTTGCGCAACACCAGGTTTTCCATTCTACGATACCTCATGCAGTAGGCCCGGCGGGTGCTGATGTCCGCTTAAACAAAAGAAAACGCGAAGGGGATCCCGTGGGCTATGACCGCAGGCCCCCCAGTCTCATCCCTTCCACCTCTGCCTCACTGCCAGGGGCACAGGATGTGTCGTACCTTTTTCCCGATCGTGGCCTCATTTTAGAGGAGTTTTACGCATATCATCATGCATTGCAAGGCGCGCTGCCAGGTATGTTTCGTTCACCGGGCAAACACTGTTGAGGCCGGTCTCTCACTAGCCTTGCAGAACCGGGGCAATTCGGTCCAATCCATCATTCGCTTGCAGACCCGTCAATACGGAACGACCTCTCAGAAGCGTGCCCGGCCTTGGCCCCATATTCCCTGGTAACTCAACCCCATTATTTTCCCCAGTCGGCTGCAGTTGCCCCTCCTCCACAGAATGTCTATCAAACCTATCAACCGTCAATCAGTGACTTCAAGGTCGACGACACCCCTGGTGGTAATAGTTTCAGAGTGCCAAACGCCCCGGGGATGGGCCAAAAAACCGACAGCTATGCCCAAGAACCCGTCACTTTCTGTCAAACCTTGCAGTCACACACGACGCTCGATATATCTTCCTTCTCGTCGTCCCATCCTGACAATGTTGCCATGTCCTCTTCATGCTTCTCACCACGAGGTCACAATTATATAACATATGGTTACCCGCCACATAGCCATTTGAGCGTCTACGGTGCTTCGAGCAACCCCGCCTTATCAGCGCCAAACCCAAACAATTCCCGATTCCCAACCCCCATGGACCAGACTGTGGGGTATGACCGTGTTCAAGTCATACATGGGTCCGAGGTGAATCGTTCTATCATGGCCCCGACAGAAACATCCATGTTTGTGCCTGCAACATCGGCAGCTGGGTATTCACAAGATCACATTGTAGAACAACAGCAACGATGGGTGGAGGTCATGAAGGGCAGAGAGGATAAAGTCGTGAATGAAGGACTGGCGGGCGACTCTGACTTTGAAGACCGTGAACTTGTGCCTGTATCAACACCGTTGGGCGGTTCCTATGGGGACCTCTCCCATACCTTGACTGGGTCCAACATGGGTTTGGTCGGCGCCGGCAGCTCGACCAGGACAGAGAATGCTTTGCGGAGAGGCTCGGTCGAGAAGAAGAAGCGTGGCCCGCTGGAAGAAGACAAGCGGAAAGCAACGTGTGACACTCGTAGCATGGGCGCTTGTATAAGATGCCACAATCAGCGGATCAGGGTAAGTACTGTTGATACCACGACAAATACGATTTTACGCATGCTAACCAGGAAAAAAGTGCCACCCCAACCCACTAGAGCCACACAATCGTGATGCTCCGTGTCAATCATGCCTCCTATTTTCCAAAGACTCGAAAAAGACCATCCACAACATCCCTTGTCTTCGCGACAAGATCATTGGGATAAGGATCTTCCGCGCCGGCGGATTGAACTTGACGAAACGCTTCACTCATACTCAAGTTGTCGATGTCGATGTGAGCGACCAGTGCGGCCCTACTCGCCGCGTCGAAATGGTTCAGGGGTTGTGCAATGAACCTAAGGTGGTTGTACGACTATGCAAGGCACCCATCGTGTTGGAAGTCCGGCGTTTCAACCCGGCTCCCACAGATATCAACGAGCGAAGATACGTGGCCAACGGCTATCCCGCCTCTCAGCCTTTGCAGCCCTTTTGCCTGGTTAATGTGGAAAGTGCCGCTGCCCAGTTCAATCAACATATCAGCGCCAACGCTCTTCTTGGACTTGAGGAGGCGGTTGAGAAATCCGACGGCATCGTAAAGCGGACCTTCGCCACCATTGCCGAAATGTGCCGCTCACTTTCTGTGAGTGTCTTGCCTGTTTCAGTGTGCAGATGGCCGTCACTAACGGGACCCGTCTAGAAGACGACAGAAGGCAAGCACAGCAAGAATAACATAGAAGCCAGGCGTCAAAGAGACAAGAGAGAGTTGCTGACGAATGCAGTCCGTCTCTGGTTTGCTATCCGTAAGTAGCCTCGTCTAGTGCCTTGAAGAGCCAGGCTGATAAAGTTCTCCAGGCCATGGTATAGGGTCCGCATGGCTAGATAGCAGCTCTGACACGCTTGATATGAAACCAGTCTACAAGGATGACTACCCACTCTATGGGCGGGTCGACGTGCCACGCATGATTGTTGCCCAGTTCGATAGCATTCGGCACGAGCGTATTTATAAAATCCTCGCTCCCCGAGTGCTGAAGCTTTACGAGAAGCTTATCACATCGAGTGATATGCAGAATTGGTTCACCATTTATCTGGTGACATTTTTGTTCCTCCATCAAGTCAGCTGTATCTCCTTCGATCGGTATCGTCGGGTCAGAGATAACTCGGGTGGCAGGCAACAGGTGTGTGGAGTCCATTTTCTCGTGGATGAGGCAAGACGAGCTAACTGTTGGTTGCATAGGAAACCCGTTATGGACCAATTGGGCCGAGTCCCAACTCTCCCTCCGACTTTGTTGAGAGTGCTTTCGTCGAGGAGGTACAGCACGGTGGCGTGGTTCTCCTGGCCTACTGGCAGTACTTCAAACGTGCCGACCTCATGCGTATGAACTGGGATGATATTGCCGATACCAAGTTAAACACTCTGGAACCAGAGCAAGCCGAGCTTTTGCGATGGACTGTTGAGCAGTTGAAGAGCGTTGATCCGAACACAGGAAAGAGCAAGTGTAGGTGTTGTCGTCATGTGGGCTATCAAGAGCCAATGCTGACTCGGACACAGTGGATAGCATCCCCAAGACCCCAGCCCAAGGCTGTTGGGAGCACGAATTGTACTGGGTATCGCGAATGTTCGACTCGACTGCGACAAGAGAGTCACCGTGGTCACCGCCCGAAACCTTTACCCGCGCGAAGCCGAGCGTTGGGCGAGAGTATACACCGCCTCGGCCATCTCAGTCGCCTTGATTGTCACGCGTGTTGCTTATTGTCCATGATATCGGCATTCATGTATGTTGGAATCATGCTTGTTTGGATGTGTCTTGAGCGTGTTCCTTTCGAGTAACTTTCTGTTATCTTTCTTCCCTTCAGCATTGGCATTAAGCATTGGGGACGGACTGACTGTCCATCCGGAGTGGCACTTTTGCTTCTTGAAATTTCCCCCTCATTTTGCGCGTCAAAAGTGCTGTCTTACCAAGACGACTACGGCAACGCAGATTCTTTTATCCCAGGCACCGGCAAAAAATTAGATTTCATTCGAGGCGTCAGCAATGTGGGCACGGACGGACAAACAGACAAGAGACGAGGGTCGAAGGCAGGGAAAAAGAAGAAGAAAATACAAATAAACCGGGGTTGCTGTTAATCGTGCAGTGGCATGTTAGGATTTTCCAGTGACCCTTGACCTTGCTTGATATTAAATGACAAGCACAAACTCGCGCTTTCTTACTTGGTGTGATGGGTAAGTTAAATTAAGTGGGGTAGGTACTAAACACATATTGTCCGTGCAAAAAAGTACTGACAGGGGGGTTTTTACTTTTGCTCGCGACCACAGTACGATGGAGTGTCGTCGTCGTTGTTTGGACGAACTCTGCTGCCCCACCCAGGAACTTGTCAACTTTTCATCACGAACTAGTTCGTCTGGTATGTAAACAAAGCCCCTGAATGGTGCAGTTCATCCAGCTCTTTGTTGGCGGGTATATCCTTGTGGCAAAGTGTGGGGATTTGATCTTGTCGTTGAAAAGCCACAAGCCAGAGGGAACTCGTGCCTGTAGTTTTGATTGGTACCGGGAAAAGAAAGAGGATCAGTCACTGGATGAAACGTATGCAAAAAAAAAGGAAGAAACAAGATAATAGCAAATGAGAACAACGGAGGATGGATGTAGGTAACTAGGTATTCTCAGGCGGAAAGGGAAACCAAAAAGGATATCGGTAGGGAAAAGAAAAAAGATATTGAGACTCGGATACCGGGAGTCGAACCCGGGGCTGTTGAGAGAGCAGTCACTCCTGAGAAGTGAGAGTCAACGATGTTACCGCTACACCATACCCGATTGAACTGATATGGTCCGATTTGTTGTTGGGAGTGAACTTGGGAGTTGTGGTTATGAGCGGCTGCATGTTTGAAAATTTGTCTGTGAAAGTGGATGTTTGGGCGTTTTAGATTGAGTGGATCCTGGGAAAAACATGGCGGGGGATCCTGATTGGGATTGGGGTGCACAGTTAGATAGATAGAATAGGTAGGAGTTGCAAGCATTTGAGAAAACTAAATCGACGAGATGCTTAGAGAAATTGTCAGGTACGACGAGTTGTTTGATTGAAAACATCTGCCGTTTGACTTGCATATATTAAGTAGTTCGTCAATTCGATCGCGTCTGGGCCACGGCATTCGGTCATGCAAGGCACGGCAGGCTCACAGTGATCGTCGAAGGACAGGGGTAGAGGTAGGTACTCGTCCGCTTAGTCATCACAGCAATTACCGTGGAAGCTCAGGTCGCTCTGCCTGCCGGACGGTATCCGATAAGATAAGATTTGCCTAGACGGCAAGGAAGCTGCGATTTGGCCAGTTCATTCACTTGCGCCCGTCCATTTGGTGACCTGCCGGGACCGAGCTGCGAGCTGTCCTCTTGTGGGACCTGTCCTGTCCAGTTCAGTTCCATTGTCTGGTCACCATCACAACAAACATCCTCCTCCTCCACGCACTGCAAACACATCGTTTTCGATACCCCGTGGCATTTCTTCAACCACATTCGTAACTTGCGGAACCACTCTTTTTGCGTGCACGATTCTCACGATCAAACGATAATCCGATCGTCGCCGCGACATCATTACCTTCTCGATCAAAAACAGCCACATTCCAACCGACCGAAACATCATTCAACACTTCCACGCTCGGCAATCCCATCCGAGACACGAGACACGTCGTCCTTTCGATCAATAACCATTTCCATTCCAACACAAATAACAAACCGCCCAAAATGGCCGAAGACCTCGACACCTACACCCACCTCCCCCTAACCATCGACCCCCAAAGCAAATCCATCTCCCTCCTCGCCTCCTCTGGCCTCTCCTCCGTACAAACCCGCGCCCTCGAATCCGAGCTCGCCGCTCTCAACGCCCTGCACCGCTCCCTCCACTCCCTCGACGCCCCGCACCTGGTCCCGCCCCCTCCCATTCCCGTAAACCCCAAACGCTCCGCCCAAGTCTCCAAGCTGCGCGACAGCGGCAACGCCGAGTACAAGAAGCAAAAGTACAGCGAGGCAGCTAAATTCTACACGTTGGGCATCCAAATGGCACTTGCCCGCCCGCTTTGGGAACCGTCCCAGCTGGTGAGGGAGGAAGTCCATTCCTTGTTCTCGAACAGGGCGCAGGCGCACATGTGGATGCAGGAGTGGCCTGAGGCTGCGGTGGATGCGGAAGCCAGTGTCGAGGCTAAGAGGGTGGGGAATGCAAAGGCGTGGTTTAGGAGGGGAAAAAGTCTGTTGGAGATGGGTAGACTAGAAGAGGCGAGGGAGTGGGTTGGACGGGCATTGGAGGTGGAAGGGGAGGAGAAGGAGTTGGCGGAGTTGGGGAGGGAGATTGAGAAGCGGTTGGAGGCTAAGAATGCTGGTGCTGGTGCTGAGTAGGATGGACAGCAGCAGCAGCAGCAGGCTTAGGAGGATGCTGGAAATGCAACTGGATGTGAAGTGGAGTGGGAGGGGATAGCGAGTATCAAGGCAGTTGGGTTTCAGGGAGTTGGGTGCGGTGTTGGCTCGTGCTGAGTGGGATGAGTGGGATGAATATCCAGGAGATGATCACGAGGACTAAAGGGTGTGAAGGTTGGGGGTCGTTGTGAGCGGAGGGGGATGGTATTGCGGAATTGTCATGATGACAGGATCCGAATCCGAAGAATGGTTCGGCGTGGACTGGCCTGTGGCCCCCGGAACCGGAACCCATCTTCACAGCCAGGGGAGGGGCGCGTCGTCCAAGGACGCTGTTCCATTTATCTGCTTTCTGGCTTTGATGGAAAAAGAAGGGAACACGCACGACGCAGAGGGAACTTTGTTATTTTTCATGTATTACATGTTTTTAAGGGACACACAGCGCTTGTCAACAGTCAGCGCTCTTTTTTTTTTTTTTTTTTTTTTTTTTTGCTCTGCTATCACTACCAGGCAGTCGTTAGTTGCGCGTTAGAGGCGTTAGGTATACATAATCGGGATCATTCTTTTACACCATTATTTCCCTGGAAACACTACTCTCTGTTTCCCATCCTGCTCGAATGTTTGTGCCGTGATGTATAAGATGTCCGGTTCTATTTTGCCATCGAGTACACCACCTGCGATAACCACTTCGCACCACCTAAATAAATCGAGTTCCTAGATAGGTACACGCTAAAGATACATGACTTACCGAAGCCGGTAGTATATAATAGATACCTAGGTACTGAGAAGTGGCGTATACATCCAAGCCCCAGTCGATGTACGTACATAGTCGTGATGACGGTACCGTGAATTTCAATATATCAAGTTCCTACCTACCTACCTACCTATATTTTGGACTATTTGAAAAATTTAGATACTTGTATGACATGCCCTGCGGCAGTAGGTACCTAGCTAGTTGTTAAGTACTACCTCTACCTCTACTCACTACCAGTTCTCTTCAGTTGTGTTGTAGTCTATAGTAAGCTGCTGTAGAGGTAGGTATTCATTCGTTGCCGTCCAGGCAGTAGTACGGGTAGTGTGTGTACCTCCACTCTAGGCAGACATCATTTCCCAGGCCCTGCTCGATTCTCGACTTCCTTCTTCTTGACAAGGCACTCAGCATGGAAGCGAGTGTTAATACCAATGAGGTAGGACTGGAGGATCTTTCCAGTTTTCCGGTTTTTTCTCAGTTGTCTGTTATGTTTTGGAATCTACTATGCTACTACCAACCCGAATCGCAGTTGTGTAATATACGGCCCTCGATTCGACAGTTATCTACCCTAGCCACGTGGGAATCTACTAATCTACCCGAATTGCACGACGAGTTCTGTGACACACAAAAACGGTGCGCCACCACATATGTACATACATGTAAGAAGAACATTACAAGCTCACATCGATACGGCACTCGGGACTTGTTTACGTACCGAAGAACCTCAATGCATGCATTTCACAAATTGGACCTTGTTTTTTCTTTTTTTTTCTGACTTTAAACTTCTCTTTCGTTCATAATGAAAACTTGAAACTTCCTGTCAATTTACTACGTATCTCGTATCACGGCCCTCAGGTATAGGTATACATACACATACACCGAAAGGGAGGTGCCGGTTGCGAATTTGCGTTGTAACGTAACCCATTCCATCGATCCATGTAACTAACATGTCTGCTGCTTGCTCGCCCAGTATAAAAGTTGCTGTCTGCTCTTCTCCTTTTGTTGACCACTCCCCCGGCCTTCTTCTAAAATGAAAACATGTCCATGAAGCAGCAATGTTTGCGAATCCTTGGCCAGTGTCTTGTCCCGTAGCGGTTCAAGCTGGCCACCCGAATGTTTCTCCCTCAACAAAAGGTGATGATCCAGATGTGGTGAAAAACATTGAAAATAAAAATAAGCAACGCCATGATGTTTTGAACACCCAGAAAATGTAATCGTACAACTCCTCCCGTTGCCTGCGACCGAGCATCCAATTCGCAGTTTATCCCATTCTCAATATCACCGCTACTTTCGCCCGATGTGGTGAACTCCTTTCCAAATTCTCGACGCGGCGGGTTTGTTGGCATGTAAGTTTCGCGTTGGGGTGGTTCGAGCGGACGAGGAAGGTTGGTATCTGGCTATCCTCTCGTATTGCGCGGCCGGTCTCAGCGCAACGTCCCCCAATAGCGTGTGGAACGGCATTATGCAGGCGGAGTGAACGAGAGCGGCAGGCGCATTCTCCGGCCAACCGGCCAAACATGCCAGATATTCTTCTCTTGTCTTGCCGCGTGATCGTTGTTTTGTCGCTCCATTCACCTCATGCCCCTTGGCTCAATATGTCCAAATCAGATCGCCTCGACCCTCTCCTTCTCGCTGATGACACTTGAAGCGGCGGTAATAGTTGGCTTGCGCGGCCTCATGACCGCATCCTGGCCAGACATGCGACGGTCGAGCGCGCGCTCAAGCTTGGCGCCCAGAGCAAGTTTCTGCAAGTTGACGCTCTTCTCCTCGGACAGTTGCACGCGCTGCTGCGTCAGCGCCTTGTTTTCCATACGTTCGAGCCCCTTGCCAATGTCGACGATCTGGGCGACGGCGGTGTCGGTGGTGCTGAAGGTAGGCGCGACCGAGGGGGCCATGGAGGCCGCCCTGGAGAGGCGAACGGAGGCGCGGTTTTGGGTCTGGGTTGGGGTGGACATTGTTAGTTCGGGTCGAGGTTGAGTGGGTGGGTAGTGTAAAAGTGTAAAGCCAAAAGTGTTGTAGAGAAGATCCCTATGTGTCTATTTTATGTGTCGGTGCTTGTCGCATCTGTTTTTGCGACTGCGCAACTCTCCCTCGCCTAGTCCTCTCTAGTCCCGGAACGTAGTCAACCGGCCTAACTCAACGGCCGCGACCACAACAGACAGGGAAGTAAACCTATCGAGGCGCATCTGGAATGAATGGGTAATGGAATTAAGGAAGGGGAATGGATCATCATGCTAGCATGACAATTCCCGCGAAACTTACAGTGGGAGCCATCATAGGACGAGAGGAATCGGCGGAATCAAACGAGGTGGACATGTCGGACGATGGTAAATCAAGGGTCGGGGAGGGATCTCCTTTTTGTTGCCCTTTTGTTCCCTTGCCCACTGGGCAAAAACGTGATGTCGGCTCGATAGGTGCCCGTAGGGGCGTCGCAATCTTGCAGTCCACTGAAACGGCCGAAGCGACGATCAAAGGCGAATAAGGAATGGCGCCGCCGGAGAAGCAGAAGCAACTTGACCAGCAAGGTTTCACCGAACGCGGTGGTGATGGGCGCTGGAAGAGAGCGTGGGCTTGTCGCTGGCTGGAGCAGTCTGGTCGGTCCGCGTGTTTCGAATCGCTAAATGACCTAAATGGGGAAAAGGACGGCTCCTGCAGGGTCGGGCTGGTTTGGTCGATGGCGCTACTTTCTGAGACTAGTCGTCTTGTCTCCTGGCTGGGCGAGTGTAGGAAAGTCACAAACGGATGGGATTTCGGGGGGTGGAATGAGTGACAGGATGCGCTCGCAAATGAACGGAAGAGAAGTGGAGAGGGGGAGAGATTGGCGGAGCGACTGTTTTGGCAGGTCCGGGTCTGGACTTATACGACGAACAGGCCAACGCAGTTTCCCCCAACGACTGGCATTCTGGACAAATGGAATTCAACCTGAAAAGAATGGGTGGGCAACCTCAAGAGACCGAATCGCGGGCTTTGAAGTGATTAGGCAATTAATTATTCAACAAAGTCGGATTCGCATCATATTCGGACTGTCACTGTCACGATGCCAATCAAAAATATGGATGTTGTGCAACACAACGAACGACATGGGGGCACGCACCTGGACCTAGGTCGCTGGAACTTTTCATGTCCACTTGCTGTAGTGTACGCCGCTGGAGTTTTTATGGGCGCGATCCGGCAGGCACAACTCTGTAGGCACCCTTAGTCCAATGGATCGGACCCCGTCTTTATCCCTTCGTCAACTGGCGTCAGGGGCATCACCGTTGCCATGTGGCATGGCTTGACAAAGTGCCGAGCCAGAATTGTTCCTCTCTTTCTCTCATTCGTCGCCTGCCAGAACCATTTGTTCAACGGGCGCGTTAGCGTTGATTGTCTTGCAGAATGATGGCCAGGGGGTTTATCAAGGTGACGAGGGCATTTGGCAGTTTGGGGAACCAAAGCCGAGTGTCACGACATTCATTCCATCAATTCAATGCGTCACGGCGCAGGCCGTTCTGAAGCTGAAGGACGGGCGCTGATTGATGGTGATCTGCTCATGATGATCTCCCGGAGTTATCAGCTCCTGGACCTGGTTTGGATCCGGGTTTCGGTTGCTCGGAGAATGTACCGATGATGATTTTCCCATGACAATACAAAAATGCCTCATTCGTCATGGCAGAGATGAACTTTGGGATCGATTAGACTTTTATCTTGTTTCCTCTCACATACTCATCTGGGCATCGCTCACATTCGCCGTCTTGGGCTTGCTCTCGCCTGGCCCGATTGTATCGAGGTGGGCGGAGCCGGACCACTGCCCGGGCATGGAAGCAATGGACTCCTCTCGGTGGAACCCCTCCACAACTCCAGGTCAGGTCCAGGTCTCGTCGTCGTGCAGTGATGCGTTTCAAAGTCCCCACCAAATACTGCAACCGCACCTCATGCGCAGCAGTCGTCGGTTATCCTCTTCGAGGCCCCTCCGGTGCTTATCTTCTTTCTGTCGATTTTCTTTTCGGACAGCCCGAGATGGAGAGGGACGCGCAATGGCGGGAAGGTTACTGTTTACGGCCTCATTTCCTCACGATGTTGTTTCACTCGGTTGAGGCAGACGAGTGCTACATAATGGCAATATCACGGTCGGTATATGGAAGGGATCCCTTCCTCACTTCCAGAGCCTGTCGATAGCTCAGTACCGAGATGTCGTTGTCAGGGAATGCTGATCGGTTATCTGTAGCCCTCAAAATTGGATCCGGTAACCGGTTGAGAGCTCTTTCATGCAAACCAACGGGTGATAGAGTTGGGAACGCACTGACAGCCGTGGTGAAACTGGATCTTTGTTCGGAGAAGAGCCAGGTGGTTTGTGATTGCATGTCATCTTGGCACGTGGAAAGGGTGATGCCACGTACAACATCGGGTGCTTGGCCACATCTCGTCATCGTCGTCAAGTGTGTAGCCGAGTGTATACAGTTTACCCAGTCACGATCCAGTCACGACCATTGAGGACACACGCCGCGGCCACAACCCCGGGACCAGCAAATGCACATCACCGTGCCGCACCCAGCTTTCACCACCATCCGGTGCTCTGCCCGCCCCATCCTTGCACAGATATCAGATCAGACGGAAGCGAGGCGTTGCACAGACGGTACAGCACGTGGCACGACAAGACAAATAAGACGTCGGGTGTTTCCATTCGAGGGGACGACGACGAGTTTAGGAACCAATATCCACTTGGCGCTCCCATGGCGAAATACATATCTTTGTCTGCACGTCGTACGAGGGCGCCATCATCTCTAAAGATCGAGAAAATTATCCCAATATCGACAGTCCGTCAAAAGCGGTCATCGAGTTATCGTGCTCCCCGAGTGGGTTGGCTGCCATAATCGTGGATGTTGGCCGAATACCGACGATCATCGGAGTCTCGGGTATCTCATACAAATGCCAGAAGTAACCTCCATCATGTACCATCAACCCATCGCCAACGCTGCATCGTTGAACTACTGTGGTTCAACCTCGCATGAAGTGGATATTAGCAACCGAGGCACTGAATGAGGGGATTGCGAACGAACAATCGCGCCTAGCAGTCCCCTAACCCTACACCAAGTTTCAGCTTCATTGGTGGTCGGCGAAGATGCGGGGGGGCTGAATTACCCGGACTGTAGTGGTAGTGGGCTTGCTCGCCGTTCTTGCCTGTTCTTGGCCACGTTCTTGCCGCAGATCGTCAGTGACCACCACCAGAAGGCGGTTGACTAGGTTGACGTCAATGTTCTTGCCCGAGACTGGAAATGGCAACACCTTCCGCTTGGATGAGCTTTGCGACTGAACCATTTACGACTTCCTCCCAAAATCCACGCCAATTTCACGGTTGCGGTTGCACTGCACTAGTCGACTGCCACGACAATCATCTGTCTCAAGCTGAGTTCTGTGCTTCCCTTCACATCACGTTACTCTTTCCCCCAAACGAGTATCTCTGCATCGATTCCTTGCTGCCGAGGAGGAACTTGTGCACGTTTGAGAGATAACCGGACTTCTCCCCTGCTTTCCATCCCATTTCTCTCCTTCTTTCTTTTTCAACCTCTCTACCCCTCCTCACCACCTCTCGTTCTTGATGATGTCAACTTGTCCAATTCCAACCCCCACCAATTGTCTACCACAAACCATGGTTGTGCAGCTTCCTCGCTGTTAACCCTATCCCGGATAGCATCAACACCAAAGGTTCTGCTATGGGCAAACAAAGACCCAAATATTCCCATTCAGCATCACCCCAACTTCGCACACAGTCTGGTTACACATGCAGGGCCCCGGAAGTGGAAAGCACGCTGCCGACTTGGACCGATTGAGACTGTTTGACACACATGTCGGTCTCACAAGAGATGCCGGCTTCACCGCATGCCCACATGCGATAGCTTCATATTGATTAGGTACTTTTCATCATTCCCGTGGCGGCAGGCCAGTGCTTATGTCAAGAGAATCCACATCAGCATTGGTCCTGTTCTTTATTATCCCTTTACTGCCCGCTTACCCACCTCACTCCACTTCCACTGGTCTTCTCTCCCATTCCCGTCTTCACCACAAACACTGCTGTGTTGGCATCAACATGACTTCCACCACGCAAACACGGCACGCAATAGGTCAGGACCTTCTTACACTTGAGCCGCCGCAAGACAACAGGCATGACTGCCATGGTTGTCAACCGCATCAACACTACAACCCACTCAATTACGCCACCTTGGCCATTTACGTAACAAGACCATTCGAGATCATGAGCACCAAAGACGAAGAAGCGAAGTTGGAGATATTTCATTAAGGCTCAATCATCGGTTATGATGACACAACAAAAAGCAAAGGCACACGTCAAGACCCTGCCGCCCAGAGCCTGCCGACCGAAAATCCCAGATTACAAAATTCGGATCCAGAACCCGCCGAAGATTAACAGAAAAAACAACCCGAACCAAAAGAACGCCGCTGGTGTTGCTGTTGCTTTCCCCACCATTCATTTATCCATCCTTCCAGTTGTCAAATCACGGTCCTTTCCTTTTGTGCGCCCTCGATGCATGCTGGCCGTATGCTCTGAAAAACAATCGACGCCGCCCAACTCCAAGACGTGGTTTACGAGGTATCCACGAGTATCATCAAAGAGAAGGCAACCTTCCACTTTTGGCTCCAAAGTCCAATGACTTGCACCAAAAAAAGCAATGCATCCGCCGGCATGACGTCCGGCTTCTCGTGTTCGCACAAACATTCCTCCTCGGGACACTCCAATTGGCTAGTGCCTCCGGGACCTCGACTGCGACGACGACTCCTTGTTGTGCTTCTTTTCCTTCCCGCTGTAGTCCAGCGCAATGTCGTAGGATGTCGACTGTCCGACCTCCTCTGCGGTCATGGATACACCATCTCTGGGGTCCCTGGTACCGCGCTTGCTGGAATCCTTTCTCTTCTTCCGAGAGCTTTCGGCACTAGAGCCGGGGGCAGGTGCTGGTCTGTCTGTTAGCTTATTGCTACCAATATCCGAGGTCTCAGGTCACTGGAGGAGGGTCCACCACATACCTTCCCTGGGACAGTTCCTGCAGCAATTGTGATCGCAGGTCTGGATGTACTGCCATTCGTTGGTGAGGGCATTTCTTTCCCATCGCGGGTTAGGCAGCATGCCGTCACACCACCCGGTTGTGTTTGGGGAGTTGCATTGGCAGCATGTCCAGTTGCCGTTGGTGTTCTTGAAGTCACAGTTCTGCAAGGGACAACCGGCGTTGGAGGGCTGTTCTTTGGCCATGGTCGTGTTGCTGCATTGCTCTTGGTATCCCGTATTGAGGTCGATCTTGGCTGCTGGGCAATAGTGCCAGTGCAGCGAA